AAGAGCTCAAAGAGCAGCTGCTTTGATTCAGGTCCCAAGGATAAACGTGAGCGCGCAGCTGGTCACAAGTAAGAATAACTCTACTTCACTCAACTAAACACTGATGTTGAGTGGAAAAAAAACACTATCCAGCCATCGTTATTGTAGTTTATATACTTTTTATGAGCTATGGGAGGGCAGAGGGAGGATTTATGATAATTTATGGCCCACCACGTCTTCAACCCTTTTATACTCGGTAAGGAAAAGACACGCTGAAATTGCGCAATCAGCGACCCGCTGTTGCACGTCTTATTGAAGTATAATCCAGGCTTAAGCCTCCTTGGTGTTGGCAAACAGCAGATCCAGAGTTTTGTTGTCTCTTGTGTGGCAATCAACATATTGTTTGAAGCTAGGGAGAGTGGAAGAGGGGGAGGCATGATTGAAGTCCCCAGAGATGATAACCAGACTGCGGGGTCTGGTTACACCCCAGAGATGGTGTAACCAGGGTTACACCATCTCTCATTAACGTACATCACTGTGCGGAGTTTGCATGTTCTCCTCGTGCTTGCGTGGGTTTTCTCCGGGTACTCCGGTTTCCCCCACAACAAAAAAGACATGTAGAATAGGTTGCCTTTAGGCCCAGGCCGCCCTTGAAAAAGAGATCTGAGATCTCAATGGGATTTGCCTGGTAAAATAACGGTAAATAAATTTAAAAAAAATAAAATCACCAGTCAGCCCCCTCTCCTCTTACCGCTCTCCCTAATGCTCCGGTCTGCTCTCACCAGTTGAAAGCCATCCAAAGTTACGACAGAGTCCAGTGTCTGATCCATGAGCCAAGTCTCTGTAAACAGCAGAAGACTGTTGGTACCCCAACTGCAGTCTGGTTAGCCCTGTCAGCTCTTCCGTCTTGTTGTTTAAAGATCATACATTACCCATGAGAACAGATGGAATGCTTGGTTTGTACCATCTCCTTCTCTCTCTATATCCCCTCCTCCGACAACGTAATTCCTTTGGGATCTCAGGTCGCTCATGTGAGGGTCCCTTCCAGTTGCACAGCTCTAACAGTTGATCCCTGCTGTAGACAATAGAGTTGCTCACAGGATCTCCAAGTGAGGTAGAGAAAAGGCCCAAAAGGAGTAAGAGGAATGCAACTACTGTAGCAAGATTTTGCAGGTCTATGGTGTGTTTGATAACCAGTAGAAATCCCAACACAGGAGCTAAAAAGAAAAACTTAAACACAAGAAAAACACAGAAAAGTAGGAAAAAAGCTGGGAACTGCAGTAACAGGCTGCCTACTGTGGCGCCATCTTGGAAAAAAAATTATTTGTCATCAATGTACTAACTGTGGTGGCCATCTTGGATTTTGCATTTGCATTCAGAATTTATTAATGATTATTCTTGGTTACTCCCATGTAAAATATCAGCTGTGYATGTTTAAAAATGACTATCATAGCCGTTTGTAAAACTAGCATCACAGCGCTAGGATTAAATTGGGATTRGCAATCAGCAAATGTTTGGGACCATTCTTCGCTACACTTCAAATCAATAAATCCTAAAATGGCTCAATTATGGTCATTTAAAGTTAACTGTGGTGGCCATCTTGAATTTTTAATTAGCATTTAAAATTTTGTAAATAATGTTTTCAGTTACTACTATACTAATTTTCAGTTTTGTCAGTCTAAAAGTGATTAGCTTGGAATTGTGACTAGCTGTGATTGCACAAAATTTTAACTCAGTGTTTCTTTAAAACATTTGAGTTTGAAAGTAGCTGTGGTGGTCACCTTAAAATTTCAAATCCAGAGTAGTTTTGTTTTATTTGTACTGCACGTCGCCCCCCTCAGAATACACTGTGGTCACCCCTGTGCCACCACTTGCAAAAAATGTTTAGCTCCACCCCTGTTTCCAAGTCCTGTCTTCACTCGGTGACGGGGGACAGTTAAAGACAGCTTTCCTCACCACCTGCAGTCTGTTATGCCAGAGTTTTAGACTAAGGTCGTCTTATGATGAGATATAAGGGGGTTGTGGCAATTTTGGTTAAACTTAAAGATTTTTTTTAGATTATGTGTTATGAATGACTTGCAGATACAGTTGCATTCAGTTTTAGMTCAGTATTTTAAAAAAACTAACWAAGGTTATATTTGTGCTGGCTGATGTCGACTTAGTTACACAGTGTTATTGTGTTGACAGGTTGAATTTTCCCTTGTGTCTTTTCCCACTTGTGCCATGAGAAATTTGAAATTTTTTAGTGAAATAAACAAACTTGGCTGAAATGCATCACTGCATGTATCCAGAATGTGCAGGTGTGATAAATGAGGAGCAGATACAGTATTAGATACAGGATAATCTCTCAGGCCGTCAGTGAGGTTTCTCTGCTGCAGCGCATAAAAATTTATGCCCCAATATTGTTGCTCAGTGTGTATAACCACACAGTGGACACAGMCTAACTATAGGAGCACACAAGGTGAAGTCGGTTTGTCATGTAGCTCTGCAGCCCAACAAAACAAGACCCGTGTTACTGTACAAACACTGCAAAGCCAACAAAAAGCACTAATGAATGAACGCACAACAGAAAGAAATAAAAGTCGACCTACACACATTGATCCAGCTGTTACATATTTACACAGAGCAGAAGAGCCTCTCTTCTCCAGGTCATTTGTTCCAACTAAATTAAAAAATGTTCCCATAACTGTCGTTAAAACATGGAGTACATGTAGACTTGTACCTCAGCAGTCATAAAGCAGTCCTCTGTAGCACACACACAGAGCAGCACAAAGTTGGACTGTTTTCCCCAGAGATGTAATTGTGGTGCTTTGCTGCTGCTGCCACAGGGCCACCTGGGGCCCAAAGGAGGTCTGGACCTCCATGAAGATGGTAAAATTCATACTGCTCACTGAAAACTCAGGGACATGGCATTTGAACAAATTACATTAACCTGTAATCACAGCGCTGTTATTATTTTTTAATGCAAAGCTCTGTGACGCTCAGCTTGGCTGCTTAAGATTCTGTCATTACATATATATATATATATATATATATAAACCTCAAATGTGGAGTAATAAAATAGAAAATTTCAGAGCATCAGTGTCGTACAGGCTGCAGAAAAATGTCTCATCTATTTACATCTGGCTGTCAATAAGGCTTTCTAAGAAAAAGCCTGCCTGAACCAGAGTGACCGCATCTGCGTTTCATTAAAAAGGGACATTTCAGAATGTTTAAARGGGAGGTTTTGTGTAAAAGTCATGAACAATTTAACTATGGTAGATGATTCCATGAACTGCCTTAGTTTGGGGGAAAGTGTTTAATTGGGAGAGGACTGACCACGAACACCTTAAAACAGGGGTGTCAAACTCCAGTCCTCGAGGGCCGCTATCCTGCATGTTTTAGAGGTTTTCCAGCTCCAACACACCTGATTCAGTGATTGAATTAACTCTTCAAATTGGGCAGAAGCCTGTTAATCACCCAGCGATCAAAATCAGGTGTGTTGGAGCAAGAAAACCTCTAAAACATGCAGGATAGCGGCCCTCGAGGACAGGAGTTTGACACCCCTGCCTTAAAACATTTATTTCTGCCAGTGTTCTTTTATAAACTTTTACATCAACATCAGTTTCTCGGAACGTGATTGTTTACCTGAAACTTAAGTTCTGCCGAAATAAGAAATTACTGCAAAACTGATGGTAGTGTAATGGTTTATAAATATTTTTTTTAAGGATAAAGATTTAATCAACACTAATATTTAAATTTTTATGACATTAGTTTCACATAACGCAGATATTTTGAAATATTACAATWTTCAGGCTGGATGTGCTAAAGCTATCTGCTATTGCTTTTAACAGAGATCTATGTTAWAACCTGTGTAACAGGAAACTGAGGGTGGTGTAAAAGTTTGGAGCAATTCAATGGTTTGGAACTCTTTTTTGAAGCAGCACTTTATTTTGGTCTTGGTCCCTCTTGGACTAGCCATTAGCTAGTCAATCATGTGGAATGAATTTCTAATAATCCAAGTTCCAGAATGGGCTTATACGTATATTAGAATATTCAATATGCCTGTCATGACTGTTAATATTATAGTTTTTTCACATCTGTACCTTAGAGGCTTCAAATTGTTTCCTGACAGAAAAACAACTCAGTTTCAGTGCTTGTATCTGCCTTTGTAGTTTATTTTGAAAGAATTATAAAGCGGACACTACGGTAAGCAAAGCACTTCATCGTTTATTTATATATATATACCTTTCACGCTGACCCACTGGACCACTGAAAATGAAACAACATAAAGATCCTCGGCCAGCAGAATTGAAGTACACATCTGTGCTGGTTTCTGCTGTGAAAACAGGCTTCACAGTATCTTGATCCTCTGGTAACTTTTTAAAGGGAATAAAACATCACAACACATGACAGAGATCCTCACTGACTTTTGACAAACATAACTGCTTGTTTTTTCTTTTTAAAATATTATTAATTTTCTCTTTCAAGTGAAAACTTTGCTTCACTCTTCGGGTTTCTGCCTAAACCTGTCAAACAGGAGCGATCTGTGACTGATGCTCGCTCGGTGTTGTGACAGGGCTGCAGCATCAGCACCACGCTGTACATCCGTGCGCTTGCGGAGCATCGCGGGAAGATAAAGTGCTGCAATAAACTCCCGTTAAACAATGGAGGCTCAAACTTACAGCTCTGCAAACAAAGATGAGAGTTCAAGGGAGGTTTGATGTTTTTGAACTTTCTGTGTTCTCTTAATTCTGCACCTCTAAACTTTGTCAACTGTTYTGGCTGCATTTTTAATTAAATGGCTTCCTGTTATTAATATATACAGATAACATTTAACCATAAATGTTTCTATGAAATGTAAAGACCAACAAATATAATAGTGGCTTCTGTCCAGAACTGTTCTTCTTTCAGTCAAATCTGAACACATTTCAGCAGAAATAAGTGYTAGAAGTGGATCCTAATGTGCAGTTAATACACTCACCCCACAGTCATTACAGATTCTGAATCTTTAACCACATCCATCAGTCAGGAAAACTCACCTTGACAGCAGATTCTGCCTGTTAAACGTGGAATCCAGTGAGTGTCAGGAAGTGGAGAATGAATCCCCCCTGCTCCTCTCAGGCTAAACGTTCCAGTCAAGTTTGGAGAAATCAAAGTACTTCTGCGCCAAATTCTTACGCTCCTGCAGCTTGTAGTACTGTTACCATCTGTTGTGCCTGTGCGCGGAGAACTCTGCGTGAGGAGGAGAGAGGAGAGAGGAGGAGAGGATGGGAGGAGGAGGCGAGGGGGGAGGTGTCCAGAGCAGCGCAGCCAGCTGATAGGAGAACACTGAAAAACTGTTGAAGTATCAGAAAGTAAAGCCTACTCTGCAAAAACTTGTTGTCAGAATGCATTTGTTTGATTTATTAAAACTWCACACATCACCAAAAGGCAAACGTTGGGTGATTATATGTTTGTCTGTGTCTGTTAGCAAAATATCTCATAATAATCTGGATGAATTTTAAAGAAACTCTCAGAACTTAATCATTGGTTATCCAACTACAGCTGATAAACTTATGAGGTCAACCCAATTCAAGGTGGCTGCCACAGACAACTGATATTWGAAAACACAAAATTAGCTATAATTCAGTCAACTTTATAGGTATTGATCTAAAACATGACGTGGTATTAGCTGTGACAAATTCCCATAACATATTCTGAGTGCTAACAGATTGCATGAGATATGTTTTTAAAATTTTCAACTAATTCAACTGTGTAAAGTCAACTATGTCAGTCTGTTAGCAAAATATGTTACAAACCACAGGACACAGTTTAATGCAACTTCCAGAAATTTACTATTAGATCTACAGCTATAACTGATTAACTTTTGGAGTCCGTTTAATTCAAGATGACTTCCACTGCCATTTTTTTTTCTTTTTTCCAACTTTGCAGTTTACAAATCAGTCATGTTTATAGATATTGAGATGAAATTTCACAAGGTTGTAACTGAGAGGCAATGAAGACATGACATCTCATAAGTGATTAGCSTAGTGTTCTTTCTATACTTGGACCAAAACGGCTACAACTCCCAACATTTCTTAACATAAGATAATAAAAGTCTAAACTGTGACATGCGCGTTCCTTCAAGAAATGYTCAGTCTTGAAATTAAAACAAGCGATCCTGTTAAATAAATCTGACAGAATGAGACGAAACTGCTGCAGGTTCAGTGTCTACATGTATAATTTATAGAAAAGAAGAAAACTGCAGCTGCTTTGTTTCAGTCTTCCCGCAGACAGCCAATCAAAACTCACTGACTGGAGTTAATAATTTAAAGCTGAACAAACTTAAACAATTATTAAAGGGGTAAAAGAGAGGGCATGCTGAAATCAGAAATAATCAGGAAGGGATTTATCAGAGGTCAGGACGGTTTGGCTGCCAACTGATTCAAGCTGAAAAGGTCACATCAAGAAACATCCATCACTCTTCAACACAGAAAGTGTTTTTATGGATCACATCTTCTTTTGTTAGAGGTGTATTTGGATGTGTCATCATCTTTCTTACTTGTTTTCATTAATAATTTGGAGCTAGAGTTTGGTGTGTTAGTACCTGAGATCATCCTGTTGATATACARAAAGTGTTTACAAACACACAATTCTTAGATCAGATTGAAATGTATTTTGATTTTAAAAAATCCCAATTTATTGTGTACATGGAAAATCAATCTGAGCATGGCGAGTAATTAAGCAGGCTTTTATTCAGAATAGAAGTGCTGACATGAACAGAGTTGTAAACTTTCCCTAAAAAAAACGTAGAAGAAGAAGTTCTACTTCYGTGATGAACAACAAAGGTTCTGTGTCCTCTGAGTGCCCAAAATGGACCCTCGCTAGGTTGTCACAACAGTGGAGGTATTACTGTACAATTAAGGCATTGGATAATTTTAATGCTCTTTCAAAATTTTTAATAGAAATGTATCGCTAACCAACTAGTTTTGTTTACCCAACATATTGGCATCTATCCAGGCAGAAATACATCAGATCAGTTTTCGACAACCGAAACAACTTGATCAGATTAAGTGTTTATTAACTCCATTTGGATTATCAGTCAGCATAAACCACCTCTCTCACTGGGGTCACAAATTCCTTCTGATCGAGCTGAATCAGATCAGAATACTGGGGCGTTTACATGATGCATTTTTATTCTGGTTAGCCCTTTATTCAGATTACCTATGTCCACGTAAATGTGGCTATTGTTCAAGATGTTTGTAAAAAATTTGGGAAGTTAAAGTTGGAGTTATTTTCTTTCAGCACCACTAGACATACAGTATTTAATGAAACTCTCATAAATGTGTGTGTATGTGTGTACTTGTATTTATTACCTTTTAAGGGCAGTTTCTTGTATACACACCTACCTCGTCAAGACCAGTGGTCCTTATGAGGACCAAAGACTGGTCCTGGTGGAACTCCATTTTTGGGTTGGGGGTTTGGTTTGGGGCTAAGTTTAGGGTAAAGTATGAACGGGGGGTGGGGGGTAGATAAACGGTCAGGTTAGGCTATAGAAATTACTGGAATCAATGAACGGTCCTCAAATGCTGCCCTGATCATGTTTTTCCCACTTGTGTGCCCATTTGTAATCTTTCAGATTTTTGTTTTTTACTCTATTTATGATTTCTTGCTTTAGTTTTGCATTGCCTCCTGCTTTTGTAAGTCATTAAAATATTGTGATTTGTTGTACTTCCAGCCAACCCTTTGGGCTTTCGCCAAATGCTTGTATTGTGAGACAATATTGAAATAATGAGAGCTAGGGGAAAAACAATTCAAACAAAGACAGAGTTTGTAAGCACAGCACACACAGGACATAAAACTGGCAATTAATATTCAAGTATAAGACATATATGTTTGAATATAATATAAAATCTGAGACAATTGAGCAGAAAGACACAAATCCTGAAATGTCTTAAAATGCAAATGTATGCAAAATCACATGCACATTTAGATGATGTTTGCATCCTAGATCACAGTAATGTAAACATCTGAGTGCACAAATGTGACATTTTTGCCTGCATTTATATGAAACAAGTCTTTTTAAATTCTGGTTTCTGATTCATACACATCTAGTTACTGGGTTTTCTTTGTTGTTTCTTTATTTTACATGAGCTGAATTTGTACAATTTTTGACAGCATATTTTCTATGCAGTCAAACAACTGTGGATTTATATTTCACTGGAAACTGTGGCAGAAATTCCTCGCATGAAAATGTGATCTCTAAGTTTTCCTTGACATGGTGAGGAAAAAAAACATTAAACAGCCAATTCAAGCAGCTGACTGTTATTGGAGTTGAATTTTTCTCTGATATTTTGCGACTTATAGAAAAGCCTCGAGGGTCCTCGTGTCCACACACATTACAGATGAAGCATGAAGAGAAAGACGTAGTGGACATAAAATCGGGGACTGGAAACAGTGGAGGGAGGCGGTGGATGCTCAGAGAGCAGATGGTTTTCTCTCAGTGTGACAGAAAAAGCGTGATGCCCTACATCATCAGAAATCAAAGGTCCAAGGAGCCCAGTTGGTGTTAAACAAATTTTAGTGTCAACATTTTAAGATTAGGTCTTGTTAGGAGACAGGACCCGATCCCTGTCATAAATTAAAAAATAAAAAGCCAATACAATAAAAGTCAAACAATTTCACAAATCCCACATCCCAGTCCAAGCTCCACTGTTTCTGCACCGTATCAGTTTCTTCTTTCTGCTCCTTGACGGCTTCAACTTTTACTGTGGAACAAAATGGATGTGTGATGTGTGAGGAAGTAAAAAGTGTCAATAGCGTCTCACGCGTTAGCAGTGAAAGTCAACCAAAGTGCACTTTACACGTAAAATGAATTTAGTCATTAGATGTAAACACAGAACTTGAGGGTTGCACTTAGACCCAGTAAAGGAACAATTATATCCCCAGAACTGTCTCCTTATTGAACCCGGTCAGCCTTAAAGCCCCCACCCCATCACAGTCGCTCCTCTTGATTTTTTGATTGTACTACAGTATTCAGATTGTGAATATCACTGCATCATGTACATTCATACAGTACCCATCTCACATATCTGTATATCATGTTCATAGCACAGCAAATATAGTATAATATATTCTTCGCTTGCTGTTTAATGTACATGTGGTTGGATGCCAAACTGTATCTTGTTGCCTTGTACTTGTACATGTGTAATAACAATAAAATTGAATCTAATCCAAAATATTGCCCCTCAGCTCGGGGGGCTACAGGTTCAAACTAACTTAGTTAAATCCTAAGTCTCTGTGTCTCCTGATGTATGTTGTTGTTGGTGGTGCTCAGTATTCCTTCTACTGTCCAAAACATACGATAGGTTAACTGTCCGCTCTAAACTAGCCCATTTGTTAAAAGTGATCATGAAGTCTGCTGAGTCTCCAAATGATCTGATCCCTCCCTGTTATTACCAAATAGATTTTTAAGTTCTTTTATTTGTTTTTTAAAAGATTTCATTGTCACACCGTACAGTATCCTCTGACTTTCTCCAGCCGTAAGTTACCGTCTAAGGGTGGCAGATCAGTTACTTCTGGTGGTTTAAATTGAGATTTGAAGAGGCATTTTCAGTCACTGCCCCTATACTGTGAAATGAGCTGCCTTTGCACATTAGGCAGGTCAACTTTTATCTCAGTTTGGAAATGTTGGATTTTATTTATTTATTTTTGTTTGTTTTCCATGATTTAAACATTCATTATTTTAATTTAATTTGTTTTACTGTTGTTTAAAAATGTATGTATTTCAAATTTTTTGCTTTTTACTCAACGTTTCTCTTTTATATTAGAGTACAGCACTCTGGTCAACAGTGTTGTTTTTAAGTGCTTCAAAAACAAAGTTGTATTGTGTATCTAGCCATCCATCCATCATATTTACTTGCTTTTTGCTTTTAGTGTCACAGTGGTCACTGGTGCCCATATCCAGCACTGTGGTTACGGGGTACACCCTGGACAGGTCTGAAGTCCTTACAAGTTTTGGTCTGTGGGGGTAAACAGGAGGAACATACAAAACACACCCAGAAAGATCCACAGCCATGATTGTATACATCAGTCTTTTTGTTGAGAGGTCCTCAGTGACATCAGGCTGGTTATTCAAATATTCTGTAAATTTTATTTTAATCTAAAAAGTTTTTACTCATGTTTTTTCTGTCTCCATCTCTCCAAAGCCTCTTCTCTTCATAGCATCTCC